ATCCCATCCTTCACTGGCTGGACACTGAGCCTGCTTGACATTTCAGTCCTTGATGGCATCTCTTCTTCCACTGAACAGTAGGCCCAGATTTACTGAGTTTTCTCTCCATTTTTTCCTTTCATGTAACGTGAGTCCCCTGTGAAGTCACACATACACTGAGGAGGAGGCCCACCAGGAGAAGCTCCCACGAAGCAGAACCTCTTAGATTCCAAGTCCATCAGGATGCCAAAGGGTCGACTTGGGCAAATTCAGTCTCAGATGTGTGAGAAATGTGCTATTCTCTCTCTTTGTTTTTTTTGGAGAGATTCTTGTGATAGATTGATACAGGCATACAGAGGCAATCAGTAAACGGTCTGGCCTTACTTTGTGAATATGGGCTGTCCAGGGCACTCATTCCAGTAGCTGTTAGCAGGATGATGGAGCAGTGCTGAGAAACCAAGAGTATCCCTTAGCCATATGGGAGCCATCTAAGCTGTTAAGCTTGCAAGCTAGCAAGGGGTTGAATTCACTGAGGACAGACACTATGTGGTAGAGTGTTTTTACTGACCAAGAGACAAGACTGCCCTGGAGACAGGAGTACTAATACATTGAGAGATCTGATCAAGGGCCAAGATTATTTTTGTTTTCTGCTTTGAGACCACTCCAGAAAGAATTTCCATGCATTTTTTTTCTTATTTCATTCCACGCATCTCTTTGTCTGCTGCAATGTCTGAATAAGTTCCAATTGGTTTACAAATTTCTTTGTGCTGCCTGGATGCTCACTATCATTGCCAATGGGGAAGCAAGTTATACTGAAGGCATTTAGCACAACATGGGCAAGAGGAATGAAATCTGGTAAGAAGGCCTGAGGCAGCTGCCACTTATGCCTGAGATGCAGAGAGAGGGTCAGCACAGCTTGAGGCTCCCAAGTGTGTATGAAATCCAGGAATAGTCTTCTAGTGGGTTTCTTCCCACCAGAAAGTGGGGGAATCCTTCACCCTGTCCTGCTCTTCTTTTTTTAACACTGGATTCTTGTTGCTTGGCGCCTCCTAATCCTGTAGATCGCTATTTGTTCACTGAATTTTCTCACACAAGAGGGGAAGCAGAGTCCTTCTGTGAGCTTTACTGTATCTGTGTGTTTTACTAACGAATTACTGTTGATTTTATACAAATATCCCTCTTTAAAAACTTCAAAGTCTTTGGTGTTTCACCCCCCACCCTCCCGACTGTACTTTTTGCTGTTGCTATTGTTGACACTCCCATGCAATTCAGCCTTGGAGAAATAAATATTTGTTTAGCTGTTCTCCTGCTGTGCCTGCTCAGTGCATTTGCTTAATGATGACTTCAGCTAAGCTTTGCAAGGGTTTTAAGGCAATAGATTCTCCCAGAAAAATAAGAGGCTCATTTGCTGCCAATTTTACATGTTTTCTTTCCTTGCTCTTGCCCCTCCCTTTCCCCCATCTCTTTTCCCCAGATTAGAGTTTGATTAAATAAAAGTGGATGCAAAAGGCTCTTTCTTTGCCATGATACTACATGACTCCCCACAGCCGTAGTTTCAGCATTATGAGTTGCCAAGATCAGTTCTGGTGAGGAGTCAAAGTTTTGCCTGTTTGTTTCTCCACTCCATTTATCTTGACTCGGAACAGTGCATACAAGGTTGGACTCAAGCAAGTACCTGCTGCCCTTCCTTGCCATTAATCGAATTTTTGTTAATCAGTAATTTCCTTCTTTTTGTCAAAAAAATCATATCACATCCTGGCTTATTTTAGAGCCAAGTCCACACCACTGTTACAAAACATGGACATGTTCATATTTGAAAGGTTTATGTTACATTTTTTTTTATTCCAACCTTCTTGAGTCAAATCAGAAATCTTACTTTTTACTCAAGACATCAAGTTCATCTATGCCATCAGATTTGTTTCAAAATGATGGTGGAGGTAACTTCCAATATCCACATTTATGAACTTAAATGAATGTTTAGCTTCTTTTTATTCCTAGAAGTGCAGTGTTACCTGGCAAAGAAATGAACAGCTGATTTTATTCATGCCATTGCCATTTCAAGTAATTTTGCACAGCTGAATCAGGAACTCTTCTGTTAAATTTGGAAAAGAAAAAGAAAAAAAACGAAAAAAGAAAAAAAGAAAAAGAAAAAAAAAGAAAATAAAACCCCACAAAATAGCATTATAAAAATTCAGACTCTGGAAAGATCCAAATTTTGTTTTCTTTTTTTTGGCCATTTAGAAAACCTTCTTCAAATTATTTAAACTACTTATGTTTCACTTTTGAAATATGGCAAGTATAATTTTGCCAATAACTAGATCCAACTTCTCAGCTCTTTTCTGCCAGAAAGCAAAAATCACTTCAGTGAAGTAATACATCAGACTCTCTCTTCATCTATTTCCAGCTGATGAAGTTTCAGCTTGCAGCAGAGATTGTTTTTTATTAGGCCCCGAGTACATGACCTGGCACTTGTGCAGCTGAGTTTCATCTAACTAGTACCACTCTAGTCCTCGAAGTCATCCCCCTGCCTTTTTTTTTTTGTATAATATTCACAGCCTCCTCCATAATGATGATTCATTCCACACTGTGTCATCAGCAAATTTTGTTGGCATGGTCCTCCTTTATGATGCCAAGAACTGTGATGAAAATATTATATAAGATTTATCTCAAGAATCAGCTATGAGGAATTCAACTCATAACCTTCCACAAGCATGACTGAGAATATGGGAAATAGAGCTGAAAAGGACCTCGTGTCCAAACTGTATCCCAAGCACATGAACTACACTCAGCAGGTACTTGTCCAATTTGTTCTTAATCATAATTGATAGGATTCTATAATCCTCATAGATACTCCATATCATAACTGAGTCTCCGAATCACTGGAGTACTTCTGTGCCTAATGTCTGTCCTGAATCACTTCTATGACATTTTCCTTGTTTCCACTGTGCAACCACAGACATAGAATTAGCTCATTGCCCTTGTGAGTGATACTTCCGCTCACAAACCACAACACCATGTTCTGACAGGTTTGCTGTCTTCTTCCTTTGAGCTGGCTCCATAAACCCTTGTTCATCAGCTGATGCTTTCATGTATTCAAAGTTCCACCACAGGCATTCATTTGAACATGAAGCACGATCCATTGAAATCAATATTTCCTTGACTTATGAAGCGATCCCCAGAGCATGATCATTGTCTTTCATGTTTCTGAATTTTAGCTGAATACAAAGCTTCCCTCGGTTTCAGTAGTCCTTTGAAGGCTTCTTTTGCAGAAAGTCAGAGAACATTCCCTCTTGTAGACCTCTCTAGGTATTCCATGTATCAATTTAACAATTAATTGCCCCATCAGTCCTTAGGAGTGCTTTACCTCCCTGTCCCATAGGTGTTCAGGATATCTTCAAGGTTTCTGCCATATAACGTGGAGGAAATTATATGACATCTACATAACAGAATACATTCTGTGTGCAATTTATCACAAAGCTAAATACTACGTTACCACAAAGACAACAAGTTGCATTTGGAAACTGCTATACATAATGCTAATAAGAAACCCAATTCCATCTTATTCCAATTAACCTGGAAAGCCTGCCTTTTAATAACATGAGAGAGACTTCAACATATTCAGAATATTAATAAAATTAAAGGTATTTCCATTCTTTATATCCTCTAGTATACACTATTAATCAAGAATTGTTGCTCATTTCAGTATTAGCCTGTTTTTCTCATGTGAGAGGAGTCTAACATTTTGCACCATCACATCTAATCTTTTACATAGGAAAGCTAGTTTTGACAAGAGATGGACTTGATAAATACTGACATTATGTTAGCAAGAAAAGATATTAGCCTTAAGGCTCAAGAGGAGGACTCTGATTAGCTCAGAGAATTCACCATGGGCACAATGACTGAATAGTAAGATATGTTAGGAGTCCTTCATGTTTCGCCACCAACATAAAAGCTTAAAGCAGGAAATATTAGGGCCTTTTATGCAACAGATCCAAGTTGGATCTACTGAGAACTTTATTTTCTCTTTTTTTTTTGGTGGTCACTAGCTTGTGCTGAGCCTGGATTGACTCAGCCTAATCGTTACGAGGTTTCTGAATAGAGACTGATATCCAAAATGAACTCAGCATCCATTTTTCTGTCTAGTTGGTAGAAACAAGCTCTGAGACTTCAATCAACCTGAAGATGAGCTCTCCTTTAGTCTCCACATGTCATACCTTTAAAGGAGAGGTAAAACTCATTTATGGATAGACTTGGAGTTTTCCCTTTCACCTCTCAAATGAATAGTCATAAAGCTATTGGGTTCTTAAAGACAGGTCTTCAGTAATAGCACAAAATGCTGCATTTATATTGTGCTGCTAATGCTGTAAAACAATACAGTATAGTTATCCACTCAGAGAGCTACACCTAGTTAACATTTAAGTTAGTGAAGTAGAAATTTGTGTGACCTAATTTAAGAACCAAATGCCTTAGGTGAGAAAGTTTCACTAAGACATAAATGCCGCTGTATTCCTACTTTGCTTAAAAGAGTCCAGGGTAAGAGGTGACTGAGAATGGTTATGATACGAGGGAGCTCAATAACCAAATAATAGTCCAGCCTGACTTTCGAGAATAGTGGGTCTGGAAGGTTCACTTTAAACTCTTGCATGTGACAGGCTTTCTTTGTGTTATCCAAAAGGGGAGGAGAAAACTGTGACCTACTTTAAGTGATCCTGCTTTGGCAGGGGGATTGGACTAGACAATCTTTCAAGGTGCCTTCCAACCCCTCACATTCTGTGATTCTGTATGAAAAGCTAATGTTCCTAGCAAATGGAAATTAATTTTGTGAAAATCTGCAAGGCATTATTTATAGTCTGCATGCCAAAATTGTGTTTCCATCAATGGTCTCTCCAGGCCATGGTCAGAAAACAGTACAGTCTCATATAGTATAAATGAGTTTTGGCAATGTGAATTTAACTCTTTTCTACTTTATCAGCCCTTGCCTTGTTGTACTCATGAATTCTATTCATGCATTCCTCCTACAGTCCAGTACGTCGTTCAACAGAGATGCTGTGAAAGCAGGGACAGGCCGGCGTTTTCTTGGTGGGCTGTTAAATGACACATCTTACTGCTACACTCTGGAAGTCTCATTCTACAGCTACATATTGGGTGGACCTACTTCTGCTGTCCCCTACACAGAAGAAGCATGTATCCTTTTGAAATCCTTTCTTCTGTTTCAGCATACGTGAACTGGGCACTTAAGGTAAATACTTCTATCTTGATAAGAGTTTGCTGAGATAGGAACACACAAGTGGAAATGTGAGTCTGCGCCTGATGCTTTAATTTCCCTCATATTGATTCTCTATACTGTGGAAATTCAAGAAGAGAAAGGCATATTAGATCAAATAAGCCATTTCCCTCTTGTAGGAGATTGTCTCACACACTTAGTATAGAAACTATTCCTGGAGAGCCTGTGATCCATTCCCTTCCACAGTCTTCTATTTCTTTCTTAATTTCCCTCCTTATTCTTTCATTATCCCTGTGTTTGTATTATTGTTTTAACAGCAAGCTGAAAGTGCATCTTTGGTACTGAGTTAAAAATCTCTTCTCCACCTTTGAACTGCAGCCAAAAGGCTCTAAAGGATGCATTAGGTTCTGCAGCTGCCTCAGAGCCAGGTCTTTAATACCAGTTGACAAAGAAATGGAAAGTGAGCTCTGCAAACAAAACTGAGAAAGTTGTTCATATTTTTGAGTGCTCAAATAAAAGCAATGTCTCATTCCTCAAAAAACACATATCCATCTGGCTATCTCAATGTATCGACGATTTTTGGAATTGTTCTGACTCGTCTTCTGATCTGTTTTTATGTTTTTCTTTCTGTCACCATGCTCGATCAAATAACCAGTGACCATATTTCAAGCTTGGGTGTGTTATTTCATTTTGTCATTCTGTCTTGGTAGCTTTTGAAATTTCCACAGGTTTAGAAACACTGCAGAGTGAGAAAGATTAGCTATGATTGCCTATTTACCTCTCCACTGCATTTTGGAACTTGGGGAAGGTTTACAGCTTGAGGGTAGTGACGGGGAAATTTTCATATGAGGCATAATTCTTCACCATCCATGCATATGTGCATGCTGTAGGAATAAGAGCAAGAAACAGGGAGCAGAAAAAATAATTCTTAATCATCTGGGGTTTTCTGGTTTGACTTCTCCACTGAAAGTGAAATTTTGGGAAAGGACAGAGACGAATATCTTAAGGTTACTTATCTGACTTGAGCATTTGAAAGACAAGGGTTTTTGTCCAGTAGAGATACCTAATTCCAAGGAGTAGATTTTTGCAACCTACACATATGTAGTATGTCTTGCCACTGCGGTTTAGGTATTTATTTTCTTATATTGGTGATTTTAAGAACATATGCCTTGAAATTTCACCTTTAATTTTCCTCCTCACTTAGTACTCATTGTACTGACAACTACTTATTTATCTTCCTTATTTATCAAGAACAGTTTTTGCAGTGAGGAGGGGAAATGAGATCATGATTCCATTGAACATGGTTTTTTTTTCATGACTTGTAGGTCATGCTGGCTTAGTTTCCTTTTACATAAAGACTTCTGTTTTGTGTTTCACGTCACAGAGGTTTCAGGTGTGGGATCTAATATCTCTATCTATTTGCCTGGCTTGCCTTCTGCACACAGAGCTGCATCGTTCGCTGGCCATTCGCTGTGACCATCAGCAGCTAGTGCACAGAAAACAGAGACCACAGAGATCCTTCCTGGTGGTGAAATATGGAAAACTACAGCAGCAACTTCATTTCTACAGTTCCAGTTTTACCTAGCGGAGTGAGAAAGGAGAAGCCAATTTTGACTGGCCTGGCAGACAGCAAGCAGGGACGACTCTTTGCCCATGTAGTACGTTCCACTGGCATTTTGCCCTGGTAGTTTTTATTATTTCCTTTTCAATGGAGGGATTCTATCAAGAGTGCTGCTTATGACAGCTCTTCCTCATGTGTGCAGTTTCCTAGTTAGAGAAGGAAACGAGACTGCTTAAAGAAGTCTCTAGGCTGGTCTACTCTAACACAGGAGTGGCTGGATTTATGCACATCCTCTCCTGGCAAGGGAGAAGTTTCATATCACCAAAGTGCCTGTGACCAAAAGTAAAACAATTGCAGAACATTCCAATTTAGCCTCAGCAGCTCTTCCAAACTATTTGCAAGGCAGTGATTAATTAATGCTCAGATTTTTTTAATGGACCTGAACCAAAGACACAGCCAGTCAGTTCATATTGGCCTCCAAGGACAGGAGTGTTTCTATTAACTAGCTACATGCAGGCAGTAAGTCAAGCAAATAAATGAAGAAAATAAAGTAAGCCCAAAACCTGTGAACTGATAGGTCAAGTATTCAGTAGATCTGATTTCGAATCCATATTTCTTAGGACTTTGTTCATGTCACTGTGATGTTACTGGGTTGTGGGGTGGGTTTTTTTCTTTTTTTTTTTTCTGTTTGTTTTAACAGAAACAGGATCAGGCAGGCTAGAGTTGTTGAAAGCATCTAATGTTGGATTAAGAAGTGCAGACTGAGACTCGGCCTCAAATTCAGGGCACCCATGGCCTTGAACAGAGACTACAAAGCAGACCATACTCCACATTAAGAAACTAGCTCCATGCTGGCTCCAAGTAGAGACCAAAACAAATGAGAATCTCCAGGTTTTACAAAAATATTGATTTAGCCTAATGTTACTCCTATTTACAGGTGCAAAGAGGGAGCAAACTCTGAATAGTCTTCTGTTTACAATAACGGCATGTAATTTTACCTGTCAGCTTCCTTCCTGTAGAGGATTTATGGCAAATAAAATCAGATTACTACCCCCTTTCATGCCATTATAAAAGCGGACTAGGTTTGTTGCTTTGTTTTGCTTTGCTTTTAAATCTCTTCATGTTCCAGGCTGAGAGAGTTGGGACTGTTCTGCCTGGAGAAGAGAAGGCTCTGGGTAAACCTTGGAGTGGGCTTTCAGTACCTGGAGGGGCTACAGGAAGTGGAAGGATTCTTTATGAGGGAGTGTAGTGATGGGGCAAGGAGTAATGGTTTTAAATAGAATGTGGGTAGATTTAGATTAGGTATTAAGAAGAATCTTTTCCATGAGGGTGGTGTGGCACTGGAAGAGAAGCTGTGAATTCCCCCTCCCTAGAAGCGTCGAAGGCCAGGTTGAAGGGATTTTGAGCAACCTGATCTAGTGGAAGGTGTCCCTGCCCATGGCAGGGGAGTTGAAACTAGATGATCTTTAAGGTCCCTCCCAACCCAAACCATTCTATGATTTTATGATTCCTCAAGGTTTGTGTACTAACTCTATCATCTATACAAAACTCTATGTGAGCCTGTAATAGATACATTTCTACATTGCGCAAGATTCTGCATTTTGTTCAAACTCATGAGACTGAAACATCCCTTGTAATTATTGAGATGAATTAATATCTTACACGTATGAAAACTGGAGACAGACTTTCAGTCTGGCAAGTGTTACTTGAATTCTGACATTGTTAGTGTGTACAGTAACTTTTTTTGATAAGAAAATTAAGAAAAAAAGTGTAAATCTGTTCCAAATTACTCCAGTTAGTAGGATTTAATGTATTCTCCTAGATTAAATACCTCAAAGATTCAGAGTCTAGTGGATTATGCCTGTTATGTTCTATAAAACCAAATTTGTCCCTAGGCTCAACAACATAAAAGAAATCCAGGAGTGAAGGATCTTCCATTAGTCTGTGAAGTGGGTATTTGTTTCGGACAGATATGGAGGGTAATAGCATCCTGAGGAGTGTTGAATTTCTGGTTTCTTTTAACATAAAGAGTTAACATGGTTGCATGAATGTCTCAGGCTTTTATTAGCATTATATCAATAATGGTTACTGCTGGAGCGTCTCTTGTATTTTCATCCTGCAAACAAAGCACTGTATCAGGGGTAACTTCCTAAATGTTCTGTTATACATTCTTTCAGAGGTATGTGTGTGCCTGGTAGGTCTGTGTCTAACTGACATGTACCTGGTGTACAAAGAAACATTAGGGATATGTTCTCTAAGCCTGGCTCTGCAGAATACCTTATGATAACGTGTGCCGTAGATAACAGTGTGGACTCTGTTCTGAAAGCATAATAAGAGGATTGTAGGCTTCTTGTTTAGTTGCCTGGAAGTGGACAGAGAAATATTTAAAACCCTTCTCACACATGCACATGTTTGGTGGTAACTGATTAAAAAGGCAGTGCAGCAACAGTCTGCTCAGCGCTGGGTGAAAAAGCTTTAAAATGAGCTGATATGCTTCCATTAACTACCATGTTTTACTAGGCATTTACAGGGCTTATGACACAAGGCATGTAAACTGCTCTGTAACATTCACCAGCAGCAGCTCAACTGCTGAGCTGTCTAGATACACACTGGCTTCATAGCTGGGCAGGCAACAAAGGATAAAAGAGGGGGAGGAAAGATGAATCCCCAGCTGTAGGACTCAGAGTGCTGCTCTGGTAGCACCCCCAGAATTGCTTTCCACTGCAGCTGCTCAGCAGCAGCTGTCACAGCCTGACATGAGAGTGGTCAGTAAAGGAGTCTCGAATCAACAGTTTTAAACTCTATTGGGTTATTTTTTAGAGTGTTCAAACTGGATCCCTGCTGCACAGCAGGCAGCCCATAAGAGAGCATAAAAGGCTTTACTCTTCCAAAGACTAGCTATGAGGTAGGAAGATAGAAATGATGGAGACTAGGCAAGAACTGGTATGATTGTAGCCTGGTAGCTGTAGGAGAGAATTATCATCAAGACGTGTGGGCATCACAATTTTCAGTGTGTCTATAGCTTTTCTGTGTATTTTAATCTTAATTCTAAGTTTCCTCCAGGTGAGGAAGATCGTCATCCATAGATGGGCCTGTAGTTGTCTATGTGTATGACTTGACTTGTTGCGATCACTTCTAAGTGGGACAGGAGACTGGAACCTTGGACTGAGGGTCTGGTGGAATTCTCCTTTTTATGACTTTTCCAAGCACATCACTTCTTTAATTTAATGTCCTCAGTATAAAGAATCAATTCAATGAAACTCCTTTTGTAACAAACAAACAAAACATTTTGGAAGCCATGGCTGAAGAACACAGAAGGAAGAGACGTTGCTAATGTTATCCCAGATGTTTTGACATTGCAAACATCTAAGAAATTATCCCAGTAGTTTAAAACAGTAC